GGTCATGAACTTACCAAGGGACCACCGATGAAGAAACCGGCAACGATAGCACCGATGGTGTAGGCCGTGTTGACGAGACCGATCAACTGCGTATCCTTCTTGAGGTCGACGTCGACCCAGGCGAGCCAGTTCTTGGAGCCCTGGAGCGAGTTGTAGACGGAGGCATCGTACCCGTAGAGGACCATGCACATGGCCGCCGTGAGGGAGATGTACCAGTTATACAACCTCTTGCTGGTGACCGCCATCTTGAACGACCTGGTTGCTGCTGTTTCGACAAAAAGATGGCTCTGCGACACGAGGGAAGCGTTTCGTCGTCTAGGTCCAGAGGCAGGCTGATGAAGACAGAAGAATGCGTGTTGGACAACTCGGGCAGAGAGGTGAAGAGAGAGATCAGGCCATGAGTCAAAAGAGAGATGCGAAGCTTGTCTTTAAAGGTTTGATAACAAAGGTGACCGACCCCAGTCTCATCCAAACCAAACTAAACTAAACCCTCGAATCCCCGCAAAAAAAGGACCAAATTTCCCTTCCTCCCCCAAGCCTCCCCCAAATTCCCCCGTCTTCGTTCCCCTCATTCCCCGGGTCTAGATAGCGAAGAAGGGGGAAGACGAAGGGGAGGGGATAGGGTTCCCCATAATTTGCATGTTCGAGTCGCCGGGGCTAGCGCTGGTTCCGGGGGAGTGGAGGTGGAGTTTCTGTTGCTCTCTCGCGTTAAAAGGCAGTCAGGGTAAAGGACCGAGTGCGGTGGTTGAAGCCATCGCCGCAGGGTATGATGTGCCTGGGGTCGTCGCTCATCGAAAGAGGTGTGCGTGAGCTGCACAGGGGGATATCTTCACACCCTCTCTTCATTCCGCCGCTCATCCGTCCAACAGCACAGCGAGCCGAGAACATGGGAGCAGGTCCGGCGGGACAAGACGAACCAAGAGAGGCGGCGACATCCATCAGAACAGAGAGAAAAAAAGGGCAGACCCGGAAATCTCTTGGCGCCGCGCCGCGTGTGGCACATCCGTCCGTCTTCCCCAGAACGAGGGCCCCCAACATCAGCCATCCCTGTCAAGGGCCGTTCTGGGGTCGAACTGGCGGAGAAACCCCATGCCCAAAACTTCCACCAATGGCAATTTCACCTTTTGTTCTGGCGGCGGCGGCGGCGGGCCCTCTCCAATCGCGTTAAAGTGGGCGGGCGAGTGGAAACGGACAGGACGATTCGAACCACCGCGTGGTGGTGGCTGGTCTCGGTCTGGGCAAACGCTTGTTTTTGGGCGTTTTCTTTCCGCCCAGCCCGCCCATCCATCCACACGCCCGCCTATGTTTCGACGTGCAAAAGAACGTTTGTGGATTTGCAGTAGAGTCAGCGGGTTCACTATCAGATTCGAGAAGGAGACGAGGTCGAAGGTCATACGGCCCACGCCTTATCGCGCTCTGTTGACGCGTGCGCTTCTGCTGGCAAGGCGGATGATGGCCCTTGGTGACGCAGGTCGTCCACCCACCACCTCGCCGACTCCAGATGCCGATTCCCGTCTTTGCGCACGCCTCTCCGTGAGTCCAGTCGGTCATCTTCATCTCTCCTCTCATTGTGTCTGTATCATGATGCTTTCTCTGAATGTTCGTCCAGTACTGGTAAACAGAACTTCAGGACAATTTGAATCTCCTGCGTTGACGACCTGCGAGTCAATTACATTAAAGACGCGAGAGGCTTGGACGTGCATGTGACGACAACGACTAGTTGGTCAGAGAGAGAGTAGCAACAGCTGAGAAAGAATGGGTCTCCCGGCGCCAAAATACGCGAGGTTATCTCTATGCCCCATTTATTCCCGCTCTCTCATGCAACGACACGAAGAAACGGGGCCGGCCAGCCCTCGTCTTTCACATGATGGTGCGCCCTCCAGCTGCGTCTGGTCTGACTAGAAAAGCATCGGCAGCGCGCCGTTCATTCTTGTCCCTTTTCCTTGCAAAACTCTCTGCCTCAATCAATCCGAGCATTAAACATCTTCAAAGAGAGAGATGAGTTGACATAAGCTTTCTTTGCGGCTCATTGCCCAGAGAACACATCGGGCACTGGAGGACAGCCAAGACCATTTCATCCGCGGATCCCGTGTTGGCACTGCAAGCCACCCGAAGCTGCCAAGGCGTTCGATATCGCTCACTGCTGGCCGTTGTGACTGTGAACACCTGCCCGAAAGGCGAACTTGATATCATTTCCTTCCCAAGCGCCTTGGCGAGATTCGTCGTGGTGTGCCCGCGCATCCCAACAGGCCGGTCACAAGTGTAACACATCAGCCTCAGGCCGACTTCTTCTCTCATCAATCTCATCCCGCCGGCACAATTTCTTCAATCCCCCGGAAAGCATGTCACATTTCTCCGCCAGGATACAGCATGACTCCAGCTTTTAGTTGCCGTCTTCTCCGCGTCCACCAAAATCTCTCAAATCTCCCCCGCGAAAACCCCAACAATCTGGAGCAAGCTAAGAGAAATCGAACCATCTGACATCCCAAAAATCGCGGAGTCCCCAACTTATTTCGAGGAGAATCCGGCGCCGCCTGCTGTCTGCGAGGCAAGCTAAGAATAAGCTACACCCCTGGAGCTGGCACAGGGGCCGGGCCCGCCCTCGGACGCGGGCTGTGATTGATGGAAGAAATCAGAGCATTCCCCAGATGGGCGGCGTAGTCACCCGTGGGCAAAAGCGGAATTAAGAGTGCAGGCAGGATGCGTCCACGCCTTGATACTAACATCAGGTCGCCGGTGACGGTGAAGGAACGACGGCTTGTGGGGAAACAGAGGCGAGAACGAAGGAGGCAAACATGTCCCAAACCGTCGAAGGGCGATGGCAGCATAGCAATCAGCCTGTCAAAGGGTCTGGCGGGCTGACGCAGCCTGCAACCCACTGCCTTCTTGCATGCTGCACATGTACAATGTACGCACATATCGATACATACGCACGGCAGCAGAAATGGAAAGACGGGGCTGATAGGGGGGACTGTCGGCCTTGGCCATTCTGCGATCGTTGGGCATTTGATTATGTGAATTCATTAGCTTACCGAGGGGATGGCACCATTACACTCGGCCTCGGGCTTCGGCAGCCATGGGATCGCGCTAGTTTCGGGTGATGGGAGGGTGTCGGTTGCTACGTTGATGGACACATTGTCCTGGTAAGGACCAGCTGTCTTGGATATTTGGTGGAACAGGTCAGAGATGAGTCGGAGGGTCCTGACGCGTCTGTCATTGACTGCTCTACTTTCGTCGTCGTCCTTGCCGTCGTCCTTTTCGCCGTCCTTGTCGTCCTTATCCCCGTCCTTGTCTTCGTCTTCGTCCTTGTATCCGGCTTCGTCCTTGTCTTCGATTTCTTCCTACCATCGTCTCTTGTCCACAAGCTCGTTTGTTCCTCTGAAGCTTTGATCTGGCATTTAAGAAAGTCCACTTCTTTCATTAGGGCGTTAACGTTGTCCTTCAAAGGGCTACGAAGTTGTCTTGTTTGAGAGCACCAAATGGTCTGAACACTGACTGTCGGGTCTAGTAATTTTCGACGAAAGCTGCGAGACGGATTATTCTACGAGCATTGTCACAAGCCACGAACCCTTCCCAAACCCGAGCTTTACAAGATGTCCAGGAGCTGGGCGTGTGTGATGTTTCTGGCAGAAGACACAGTACAGCTCGACCACCTTCTGATCCGTATCACTAGGGCCTTTGGGACAACCATGACAGATCGATATGCAGAGAAGTACAAGCCGACGCCTTTCCTACCCCGACATAATAGACCTCACATTCAAATGAGGACTCTGAAGACATCGCATAGATTGGGATAATTCGAAGAATGCAAACATGCGCTGCAGTTTCTTGACACACTACCCTTGTGAGATAGGACCTCTTTGCCAGGAAGTGTCGTTCTTGGGCGGCTATCACGGGACGCTGTGCCAATTTCTGTTCCACCATAAGCTGCAAGTGACAACTCAGTTACGAGTGGTCATCGAGACAATTCTTGTCAAAGATCTGGAGAAGTTGCTTGAGGGTCCAGGCCGAAAGTTGACGGCGTTGTTGTTGCGTCTGTACGTTGATCATGCCCTTTCATGCATATCATCCTTAAGCCCACAACCCAGACAGTCTCTACGAACAAGTCAAGACAAATTTATTGATTAAGTATTAATACAATGTCTCATCAAGCGTGTCTAAGGTTACAAACGAGTTCGCTTTTCAACGTGAATTACCAGTGGTCCATGGGGAAGGAAACCCATGCGACACCACATGCAAGTATTCGCCAGCTTCTAGCAGAGATGTCGACATTCCCACCCTGCGCAAAGTTGCGAGCATCAATGCGAAGCTTTTTGCCTAAAGTACAAATTTCATTTCGATGGTGTTGGACGGGTCTTGATAAGCCGCAATGTGGGGGAAGACGGAGATAGTGATGCCCAAGATCCATGAAAGATACAATAAGATATGCTACTAGCAGAATATGCACATGTTTCGGCATGAGCAATCTGGGCTTTTTACTATTGGTGTCTTCGCAGTTTCTGATTCCTCACTGTGAGACAAAGGATTCAACTTCTGGTTCCGCTAGATCTTGAGACAAATCAGTGTTGAAGACATCACAAACACTACGCTCATTCGCACCTTTCGCGTGTTTGGGTGGGTAGGCTAGCTGCAGGAAGAAGGCACGACCTTGGCGACAAACGCTGCTTCATTTTACAACAAACGCTTTCACCTGCTGCCTACTTTGGGGAAGAGGTCTCAAAAGAATTCTTCGCCTTTTCTTTCCGCCTTCCACACCAACAAACAAACCATTCTTCTCGGTCTTCCACACTCTACCAGCATCGCAAATTCATCATCCAAAATATCGGTAGGCGATTACTCCCATCTATCTTGACCTCATTTATTGACTTTTTGGTCAGGAATTAGACCTCTGCAGTTACCACAACGCTCGTCTGCTGCCACCGCCCACACGTGGCTTCCACCTCATGTCGAACAAACGGCCACCGGTGGCCTCCTTCGCCCTCGAGGAGGGATAAGAGCCCATGACACTGAATCGAACACTCTCTGAGAAGATCGGCTCGGTATCTGTCCCGTACGAGGTCTTCTTGCGCATCGTCGAAGCGCTTATCGAGGACATTTTTGACTGGGAAGAGCCAGTCGATTGGGATCTCAGATACCAATATGATTCCTCGTCCAGGATTTTCGTCCAGGAAAATCGTGAACGATATGGATTCTTCCCGACGAACTCACAGATTATTCGCTGGGCACGCTCCCGACTACCTTCTCAGATCAACTACGAAACCCGCCAGATGGTCAACAGAGTGCTTCCCCGGGCCGCCATGTTAAACCAGGACGGAAGCGTCGCTTGGATCGATGCATGGCTGCGCCCGGACATTGATGCTTTCATTCCTTTCTACACCAAGTCTCCTGGTCTCGACTTCAACCAAATGTGCTTCAATGCAGCTTTGACTTACCCATCCTCCCGGAACGCATTTGTTCATCACATCGAATACATCCGTCTCCAAGGTTACGACTGGATCACCGACGTCAATGACGACGATCTCGCCGCGTTCGCTACCCTTCCGAATCTCCAGGTGATCCAGATGGAAGTTCGCCGCATAATCTACCTTTACATGGAACAACCTGTGCACTTCGGATTCCGCCAGATCAACTATGAAGCCTTTCCTTGCTTAGGTGAATTGGTGGTGATTTGGGGTGAGAGTTTCATGAAGAAGTTTTCGCCCATGCAGGACAAAGGCGTCAGGCTCTACGGTGCAATGCAGGATTGGCCCAAGATTGAGATTCGTGGCACCAAGGTCGGAATTCTGGGCCGGATTCTGGGAGCTAATTGCACTTGCTGCAAGCCAGACGAGGGTGTGAGGGAGGTGAAGGTTGAAATCACGGACGAGTGGGAATGGGATTGGAACCCCTCCAGGTACCTTACGAGACGTCAGAGATATATCATGGACTATGTTGGACTGCTGTTGGACGCAGAGCAGTAAGGAATAAGGGACTGATTTGGCAAGAATAGATCAGATTCAAGGTTAGCGAGTACGGATTCTGGCTGCCAGGACCAAAGGAATCATAGAATGTCGGGCAATGGATTCATGAATGAGTGTTCGTCATGCCTTTGGTGCCGCTTTTCTCAAGTACAACCTCATGATTCGTACTCAGTAAGCTCGCTTCTCTACCGGAGATAGTTGTGCAACGAGTTCGAGATCTGAGTCCAACGAGCTTTGCAAGACTAGGCAGCGCAAGAGGACACCACGGGGGTTTGAACATGTGTTAGGATTCACTGTTCAGACCTGCTGACGTTGAAGCCTTCATAGTGTCTGACTACCCACTGCGAGGAAAAGGCTCGACTTCTTCTAGTGCTGCAAAGGCTTGGGACAAAACATTGCTCGTGGACGTTGGACGGACATTCCCATGGACTTCACCCAGATTCCATCTCCATCCAATCCAAGCTGAGAGGTAGGCCAACTGCGGGAAGGAGCGACCACTTCCACACATGCGACTTCCTATTTTTTCTTTTGTTTTCACCTTCGACCTGGACTTTGCCCGCTTTGGGCGAGCGTCTTCTGAAATTTGTTTTTGATCTTTCACAACTCAACACATTCGACTTTTTCGCAACTCGTGGCAGGTAGCTGGCGAAAACGTATCCGACAGCCAGTAAATTATGTACGTCACATTTCTATTCCCAATTCGAATTCGATCTTGATCTGACATTAAAATAGCCCTCGCTGCTACACGACTGGGCAGCTGCCAACACAACCTCCGCACCGAAATTCACATAACTGGGAACAAGATGCCAGACATCCAAATCTTCTCCTTCCAACCTAAGGAGGCTCCGCAGCCCATGCCGCTGCGGGGAACCCCGCCTGGCAAAGTTGGACCATCTTCCCTTCCGCGCGAACTGTTCCTGAAGATCGTCGATTCGCTCGTTGACGACGTTACGGCCTGGGAGACACCCGCAAGCTGGAAGCTTGAGTACTGCTACGACGCCCCGTCCAAGCTGGTCGTCAAGGAGGAACGAATGACAATCGCCGAAACCTCGCACTCGCAGATGAAGCGCTTCCAGCGATCCCGCCTTCCTTCACAAATCGATCGCGAGACCCGCCTCATGGTCAACAAGAAGCTCGTCCGAATCACCATGTTGACCGAGAATGGGACCATCTCACCCATTGACGCTTGGGTCCGCCCCCACATCGACCGTTTCGTTGCGCTCTGCGCCGCCGGCAAAGATCTCCGCAACCAGGAGCTGTACTTCAGACAAGCAATGATTCTCCCGACCCCTGCTTGCGACAGCTTGATCAAGTCCATCCAGCGACTCCACCTTCCGCAACTTGAGTACATCTCTCGCAAGAACGCCGCCGCAATCGCTTCCTTCGCTGCCCTCCCTCATCTCAGAGAGGTCAGCACCATCGTCGGAAACTGGGAACCTGATTTAAACGAACGTATCGTGCACCACGGAATGAGGAAGATCGATCGAAAGACATACCCAACCTTGCACAACTGGGCAGAACGTCACGAGTCAACTTTCGCGTCCATCTTTCGGCCCCTCAAGAACAAGGGTGTCAAGCTCTTAGTCGACATGATGATAAGTGACAACCCGTTCCTTGAGATTTGCGACACCGAGAAGGGAATTCGCATCAAGAATCTCATTGCCAACTGGAACTGCTGCAGCCATGACAAGTTTTATTGAAAATGGGACTTGGGAAGTGCAGAATAACGCTTCGGACAATTTGACATGGGGCAATCACCGGAGGACAGAGATACAGCATTGGAGTCTTGAAGATATAAGACTGGCATATTCTCAGACTAAGATACGCGAAGAAGAATTACTCGAGAGAAATTGAAAAATGAGCTGGCAAGGGCGAATCACAAGGGGAGGGAGTTGGGTAGAACTAGTAGTCAACCAAGTTTTTGACAATGACAAAGCCGTGCAATGGATAAAGACTCCTCCACCTTCTTCTCCAATTTCATTGACTACACATATGAAAATGGACTCAATGTACTGCCAAACCGGTAACCGAGGCCCTCAAGATTTGGATCCAACGAGCTTCGCCGCAGCCCAACATAAGCGCCGGCGGATTTGATGGCTGCAGCAGCACGGTGTATGTAACGCTGAGAATGACCAATAAAGCACTGTAATGAAACATAAACCCACGCAGGCGCCCACCGGGGCTGAAGCTTTTTTTGCCATCCCCATTTACCAGACCACCATCCACCAGCCTGAGCTGAACCGCAGAATACTGTCCAGTCCCTCGCAACGTCTTCCATCAAGACAATTGTCATAACAAGATAATTGTCCTCGATGAGCCAAATCTACACGCAATCGTTTCCAAAGTTCGGGCACCTTCCGACAGAGATTCAAGACTTGATATGGGGCTTGGCCCTCGAAAGCCCTCCGGCCGCTCACTTCGCTGATCTTGATGATGTGTCTTTTTTAAAACCCACGCGAGCTATTGAAGCACCAAAAGGAAGAAGAAAGTGGCACACATTGGAAGTTCTGATCAAATTTGGTCCACGCCCGACGTCTATAACTTCGGGTCATTCATATACCGCACCCCATGCCTTGTTGCTTCAGACGTGCCGAGCTTCGCGCAGGGTTGCGTTTCGACTTGCCAACGCCTGGGGTCCAGGAAGAGCTCTACAACTATACGCAGGGGAAAGGAGCACCTTGCACGACATCGTCAGCCTCATCGAGTTGAAAGGATGCTCGGCGGGAGGGGACGGAGGCGAAAGACAAAATAATCGAGGACACGGCGAGTACCCCTTACCTGAGACAATAGACGTTCCTGCTCTTTGGGTCGATGGCACACAAGATCTTGTTATTATACCTAAAGGCTGGGAACGCGAGGCGGAACGACTGCAATGTTGTATCTACGATTTCACATGGACCATACCGATTCAAAGGGCGCGCTATATTGGTTTAGAGTGGCCATATAGCGGAAGACGTGTCTTTGAATCTTTGGCATGCTTCCTGTTTTCACGATTTCGATGCGATGCCCTCTACGTAATCCTTGGCCCAGACGAGCTTGCAGGACCTCCAGACGTCCATAAAATGGCACCAGAGCTTGCTCGGGAGCAAAGACAAACGCTGGAGCAACGATTCAAGAGACCAGGAGTTCCAACTGAAGATCTAGCAGCGCATATACCCGATAGATTCTGGCGAGGGAAACGAGAATTTTACGTAGTCAGTTGGGAGGACATCGAACGAAGAATGGTGGACTCGCCCTGTTGGGATTTGATTGACATTACAGCCCAGATACTGGAAATCAGAAAGGCGGAGGATGATGTCTGTAAAGGTTGCCAAGACATAGGTTGCGATCTCAAACCAGATATGTTTCCAATTGCCTGGAGGATTATGTCGTGGCGCGATAAGGAGGAGCAAGATCAACATATTGTCTAAACTCACCTGGACCTAATGTTTGCCGATTCCGTTCTCATACTATGAACTAGAATACAAAGAACCAGTCCGGAACCATGAACTCCTACCTGACATGAGCTTGTTAACGTCCAGCTTTCTCAGACCCGTTTCTAGTACGTAATTGTCACGCACTTCCCTTTCAATGCCAGAACGTTTCCTTGGATAAGCTCTTTGAACATCCAGTTCGCCAAATCTAACCTGCTAATGGTATACCCTACGGTGACTCCTGGTTCATGCGCAGCACCTTCAATCAGGCCAGCATCCTCAACGGTCCAGCCTACCCTGAGGCTCTCAAGCCCTTTCTTTGGGCCATCAGTCAGCAGAGGTGGTCTTACCATAACGTACCCTCCGAGTGGCGACCCTGGCTCTGTTGCGCATTTCTTGATCGCCTTCTCCATAGCTGTCGTGTCAGCTTGGGGCGCGTGCAAGAGCCAGATGTACAGTGGAATCATGACCAAAGGCTGGTCGCGTTTGATGTCTTGCCCAGATGAAGAGATCGGAACAAAGACAGGGCTATTGTTGATTGCCCCCGCATTTTTGAGCTGATGCAATGCCTCAATAACCGCAGCGGCTGAGTCTCCCGTGATCGTGAGGTCTTGCATTGGGACGGGTTTGAATGGGTTTAGTTGAAATTTGGGCAAGGCCGTGATGCGACTGAAGATGATTTCGGGATCGTGACGGAGAAGCTCAACACATGCGTGTACAGAGCGGGAAGATGGACCTTCTACGATGGCGAGGTTTGTGTCGATGACAGACTCGGGGACGTCGTATGAGATGAGCATTTTCCTCAACTTGGTGGCATCTCGAACGACTAAATGAAAACTGTCAGTTCCAGTCGACCTTGTGAAAGGCTTTCCGAGCTACTTACGTGCTGCAGCTTTGTGGCCAGCCATCAGTGTCCAGGCAAGCACATGACTGAGAGTTGCCCCAGTCGCCCCAACGAAAGCTGCTTTGACTGTCATGGTATTTGCCCTGATCCAAAAAGCTTAGACTGAATTATGTACTGCTAGGTGGTAAGAGAGAATATCGAAGTTAATGATTAAAATGTCAACCTGGCTATCAAGCAGAAGAAGCTGGCCCAATCACGGGGGGTCAGGATTGAAGATATATGCGCCCACTACACGATACCTCTCTCCAATCGGAATCCGCGGCCCCAAAAATGAGTAAAACAAATGGGAAATAGTCTGAATAAGTTCCGGATCATCATGTTCAATTTGGCGTTGGCCCGATGAACTCCGCTGCTGAGACTTACAAGTCCGTCCAAACTCCACCCGGACTACTCCGGTACGCTCGTGGGCGGACGCCAAGACGGCGACATGGAGCAACTTGGCCCCAACGGAGACCGACTCAATCAAAGGCTTCGGGCCAGTAATAATTTGTATATTTGATCGAAATCCCAGGTCTTGTAAAGAAGAGGCAGAGACAGCCTTTTTTCTATGGAGCTTTTTCGATTCAAGACCAAGCAATAATCGGCTTTACGACATCGCCTCTCTTCATCGCCTCGACGGCTTCTTCAAAGTTGGGATGCTCAAAAACCTTCACTAGCTTCTCGACTGGGAATTCACCGTTTCTCCACCATTGGACCATCTGGGGAACGTAGTCTCTCGTCCTTACGTGCCCTTGCACAGCTCCGAAGTACTGCTTGCCGCTGACCATGAAAGTTTGCATGTGGATCGAGATGTTCGACTCCGGCATTCCAGTGCCGACCTGGATTATCTTGCCCATATATCTGGTGCCATCAATTTGCGCGGCCAACAGTGGCGGGTAGGCACTCGTGTCGATGCTGATTGTTGAGCCGAGTCCCTCAGCTGCCTCCTTGATCTTCTCCGTCACCTGCTTCATATCGAGGCCGGTAGTGTTGATGACATGAGTGGCACCAAGGGATTTCGCAAGTTCAAGTCGAGACTCCAACCGATCAATTCCGATGATGGCCTTGCAACCCTGATTCTTCGCCGCAATTACAGCGGCGAGTCCAACACCTCCCATGCCGGCAATGGTGACGCAGTCCTCCGGTCCGGCCTTTGCGACATTGATGACGGTTCCGCTACCGGTTTGCAGTCCACAGCCAAGTGGGGCCAGGATTCTGAGGTCGTCCCGACTGAGCCCGAGACCGGCGACGTTGACGACCGACTTGTCACTGACAACGGTGTGGTGCGCAAGACTTGACTGCCCGAAGAATCGTCCCCCAATTCCGTCAGAGAAGACGGGCTCGCCCATAAAGTTGATCTCGAAGAAATTGGTGCAGTGAGAAGGCGGTCCTGTTTTACAGACATGGCACGAGCCGCAGTATGAGAATGAGAGAAGAACTGGGTCACCGGGCTTGACGTGAGTAACCGACTTGCCAACATTGAAAACATAGCCCGAGCCTGGAAAATATCAGTATTTGCAATTGAGAAGATTCAAGATCATTGTCTCACCCTCATGCCCAAGAACTCTTGGGTAGTATACGCCCGGAACACCGGCGTCTGCTGGAGTATTGCCACAGTGAAGGTCAGTATGGCAGATACCTGACGCAACTATTTCGACGAGAACCTCATCGTCACGTAGGTCTCGAAGAGTCACGGGCTCAATAGCCCATTTGCCCTCAGAAATCGGGCCCCTAGCCACAATAGCCTTGGACTTGAACGACATTCTGGAAAGGCCGAATAATATGTCCCAAGGGTATTGAGAAAAATACGGTCTTTGAAAGAGATACAATTGGCGTCCAGTGGATGGATGAGGGGAAGTCATTAATGAGGGGTCGCAGGGCGCCTTCCGGCGATAAGCGGAATTGGCCGGCGATTCTTCTGTGCTGCAATTTAGGTAAACCCCTCCTCTAATAAAATTGATAAGACAAGATGCTCACTTTAAGCACCTGTCATTTGGGGTTATCCCCATTATGATGCTACAGAACTATTATTGAAGAGAGACTCTCGTCAATGATTTGCGAATGGCATTTTGATTTTGACAGAAACACAGCCGCGCGAATGGTCCCCGGAGAGGGCAATCCGTGCAACACTAGATTCCGAACGGGAAAGCACGAGATGAACATTGCAGGACCTCAATTCTTTGAATGTTTGTTATGGGCCTCACAGTCTTCTCCTCTCTCCCGCTCTATGCAGAGCCCGTTCGAAGTCTGACATTAATGGATAATCAATACTGTCCCATACATCCCTCGATCTTTGATCATAAGCCTCTGGACTCAGCGGCTTTCTCTCCCATATATCGCGATAAATGCCAGTATTCTCAATCGGCTCCTCTGGGTCTTCTCGACGAGTGTTATGCTCGTCAGCCAGTATAGGCAGAAGGCTCAAGTTGGGGTTCTCAGATGTCAAGAATTCCAGCAGACTGAGCTTTTGGTCTTCATTCAGCTGGAATATCCGATACGTTACATCTTCCCGATCAGGATGGAACCATACGGAGTCATCTTGCACATCTGAGGCTGACTCAGGTGAGCGTCGGTCGAATAAAACTACGCCGCCGAAGATGCGGGACTCAGCCCAGTATCCGACCACATCCGCAATCCCATCAGGATACTGGTCATGATCATGATACCATTCGTGTCTGAAGAGTGTAGGCCACGCACCCTCTGGGTAGAATTCCCAGAACAAGTCATCTTTAGGTGGTTTCCATGATGCTATACCGTCCTCTTTGTGTAGGCTGGTGTCCAAATTGAAGATTTGAACAGCGATTTGATGGACTGCGACGGCAACCAGCTCAACCAGGCGCACCTTGAAGGCTCGCGATCCCACCGACGCCCCGCGGTAGTCGTTGATAAGCTGGCCATCAGTTGGCAAGAAGCTTTTGGCCTATGCATAATGGCGAAGGGAATCATTACCTTTGAATCTATCTGTATTGTTCCTGGGTCGAACTTGTCCCGAAACTCATGTGTCTTTTCTATCACACCCGGACAAAGCTGTTGGTGCAGGTCGTGAATGGGATGTCCGTTTGGCAATGATCCATTGCCGCTGTCTTGCGCAACTTCCGAGAGAGGCAGTCCGTCGATAATTTGTGCGAAGGTGATTTCCGCGATATTGGTCGCTAGGACGTTCCATAGTGCTCTCGTGAAGGCGTCGCGGTGGTCGCCGTCACCCAATCCAATATCGATAGAAATACGATGAGTAGTGCTTGCGTCTGACATTACGAAAGCGCTTGAATGGTTTGGCGACGGGCTTACTGGTGGTTCTATGATAGAAGTGGTTATCAATTTTCAGAGCGAGACGTGGTAGATGGAGGAGAGGTTGCAAGGTAAAGAATCTGAAGGGCTAATGCTGTCTGCTTGCCAGCCGAGATCGAATTCAGCTTCCCGTCGTTTGTAGGGGAAAGAATTCAGTTGGTCCTGAAATAGCGTGATTTGACAGCGCTACATGCCACATACAAGGGTTTTTGGTCTGGCGCCCGTTGGTCCGGTAGCCCCGCAGCCTACAATACGAAGGTAGCTTTCCCAGCGCTAAGTTGCGTAGCCCCGATTGGCTCTCCGAAAGAGGTTCACCAACAACATGCAATAAACTTTAGGATGCGCGCGGTTGATGAGGAACACATCATGAAAATGTGCAATACAAGGCAGTTCCGCCCAAATTTGGGACGACCTCGTCCATTGGTCTCCCCACAATGGCTTTGCGGCCTACACCACTGGCCGCATTATCGAACACGGACTGTGAAAGAGATTCAGATGTCATTGTTGGTTCGGTCGCTCAGGCAGACCGAAGCCCGCAGCAGCGACCTTGTCTAGCCGTCCTTTCCACCTCTGGTGAACGGCCGGGGCAGCCTCAGTAAACTCCCAGGAAGTATTCACTCCAATGATATACGAAGTCGGGGTTGGGTTTTCATGAAGAATATGCCAGGGGCATGCCGGAGTAAGCGCCGGTCCCTGTATCCGTGAGGCGCTGAGAAAGGGCGGAAGTTGGGAAGGTCTCTATCGACTGGCCCAACTCATGTAATCAGCATGCGAAATAATATTTAGTCGGGGACGCAATGATTCTTTGATGATGCCCGGAGGAATGCTGGTCATTATAATCTTATCTTTGATTTGTTTTTGAGCGCTTCAATTTTTTTCTTTGGCCGCGCCAATAGTCGACACTCTTGAATTGACGAATCTCTCTTTATCTGTATTGAGTAGGTATTACCGTCCAAGTGCTCAGGCAACTTTGGAGCTCACGCAATGATAAGATATACCTCAGCCCGATATGTCGTCTATGCCACAGAGAGTTAGGGGGCTCGTCGTCCATAACGAAGAAGCAGACAAAACACATGTGCCACTTCCTCCGAATTCACAAAGATATCGATGCGTCGAAGCTATCATTGACATGGCGCTTTGCATTCTGGAGTCGCCACAGGGGAAACAGAGTCTCGTCGCCCTCGCCAATTAACTAGTCGTATTGCGCAACGCCAAGAAAAAGCCTCAGAAACATCTCTACACAGGCTCTCCCGAGGACATGCACACGGCTACCAATCTGTTCTTGCAGAAGATCAGATCGAGCTTTCCATTTGTGTTTCTGACTCTTTTTGACGGCGAAGGCGTAACGACCAAGGAAAAGGGAGAATGGGGCGATAACCTTCAGAGCTACGAGCCGCAAAGGGCAGTCTGGTTGGCATTGCACAGCCACATAATCGACAACATGCTGTTCGCGCGCCATCAATCGAAAGAGGTTGCGGGGCACAGCTATGCGTTGTTCAAGTTTCAGATGGTGATCACCGTCGCTCACGAAATATGTCACATGTTGACCAATTTCTTGACCGGTGCAGATCGGCCCCATACCCCACCTGGCCTGAAGGTGGCAGGCTACGGGAATAGGATGACTGGTGAATCTGGCCGGTGGTGGGAAGTACAGATGTTTGGGGGTCTCGTCGAATTTTATGAGAATCAGAGAGACTCTTTGGGGGCTCGGCAAGCTGGAGTACCCTACTTGATGACGAACGGCAACCCCAAGTCCCCAGCAAGGCAGCTATCCATCAACTATGTCCTCGACTTTGTTAATGGCAGTGCGTTATTGATTCCACCATCTTGGGTTCAAGCTGGCTTACGTTGCGGTAGATTATTCATACCCTGCTCGGGCATCCTCAAACGCGCCCTTGACGACAAGACAGGCTCTTCGTGGTTCAAGCAGAGAAGTTTCAGAATTACGCCCGAAGGGCATCTCCAAAGCTCCTCCTACATCATCTCCCCCGCGGGGTAACACACCTTCAGGCTCTGGGTCTGTTGGGAGTTCGAGTTCAGCCTGGCGAAGACTGCCATTTAGTTTCTCTCGCCGTTCGGCAGGGAGTTCCGGGTAGTTGTTCTTTGAATTGGCAGCTTGCGCTGTTCAGTTTATTCGCAGTCGACTTTGTCGTCTCTCGTCGTTATCGCTATCATTTTCGTCGTTGCGGTTGTCGGTGGAGACTGGCCCATAGGAGCTCGGGAAATAACACTCAAATAGGAGGCTGGGCTTTCGCAATGGCGCGTGTGTCCTACAACTCTTGCAGCATGGGCAAGGGGTGAGCAAGAGTCATTTTGGCCAATTCGGATTCGAGTTCGGTCATCATCAATATATCGTCGAAAGAAGGTTAAAAGACAAGTGGATCAGATCAATTGAGATGTTTGGAATGGAGTACGGGGCTATACTCAAACATGGAAAGTATTCATAGGCCTTGCTGCACATCGTGACTTCACCTTTGAACAACTGCACGTTTCATTGCAGGGAACGCCATGCCTTTTGCTGACTGATTCTGGGAATTCCACGGACAATGTGCTGCAAGGCACCGGCAAGTTTTCGAAAGACGCGTACGCGCGTTGGTAGGGTCAGATCCTTAGCATTTCATTTGCTCGACCTCTGATTGCTTCATTTTACGGCCGAATTGTGATGTCGGCCGATGTCCCCGCAAACTCACTTGAGTTGGAGTTGGCCTCGGCTAGGCCTGCGAGCAATTTTGTCATGATGGGCACCATCCGATAGGCTCTGTGGCCACACCTCAGAACATAAGCTTCGCCCGAAGGTCAAGGACGCCACACCCGAAAGTAGTAGTTCATTCGGGAGGAGAAAACTCACTGGCGCGAGCAGGCTTTTCATCACCCCTCTTTTGGTGCACATCAAAAGCTTGTTAAGAGCAGCAATCGACTCGAATTGCCAACTGTTCCCCCCAGGCTAGCAGCTGTCTCATGGAGCTCATGCTTGTTGTTATTCGAGAACGGCTGTAAAAATCTCCATCGATGATTGCTCGGCACAGCGTGATAATGGAGATGTTCGGTGCTATCAGTCGAGGCCAATTGGACAGGGAGCAAGGCACATAAGGTAGCTCAGAATTGTTCTGAACTTCCTTTTCGCAGGGTGACAACGGTCTAGCCGGGCGCTCAAGCGAAGTTCAACTTGCCTGAAATGACATCACCTGCTAGGCACACTGTCTCTGCTTTGGCATGAAGTGACTAAGCTGCGCTAGACTTCACTCGTTGATTCACGATGCTTGGCGGTTAACGGCACTTAGCGGCGATCATTTACCAGGGTCTCCTTAGGCCTCGCCCTGAATCTCAAGTTAGTGGTCTCAACCCCTCTCAGTGCCCCTAGCTCCCGTACTCTTCCGTCCACCAAAAGGGCCGCGATTTTAGGCAGGATCACGCCGTCGAGTGTCTAGCTCTGTAATGTGGCCACGAAAGATCCTTCGAGCATTTCGGTCCCGGAAGTTCACCGGTTTACGAAGGAATAAAGCCTAGACCGGGTTGTCTGCCTGTATGTTTCTTTCAGGGGTAATACGTATAAAGCCCAAGCAGAGATTCGACGAAGCAATCGCAGTTGTGTTTTCAGATCAACGAGTCACTCAAACCATCCCTACCAATCATTTATAAAGTTCGCACCAAAATGGCCTCGCTCGCTAAGTTCGTCACCGCCACTGCCGCCCTCTGCCTGGCGGCGGCCCCTCTCACCGCCGCAGCACCGAACGTGACTGCCGAGCTGATCCCCGGCGACTGCTCCGTATACCCGGAGTACGATGCCTCAACCGGCCAGGCGGGGCCGTGGTCGATGCAGGCGGCGGATACAGGCGAATACATTACCGGCCATGGACTGACAGCCATCTACTCCCGCGGCTCAACTGGCATCCGATGGGGATTCGTAAGTTCCATGCCGGAAGCCGCCACCCCCGATTGGGGAACCTTAGTACACTTGCTTACTCCAACAATGATCAGATGGCCGTGCTTGACAAAGCTGGCGTGGCGCAGAACCCCCTTCGATGTGTCAACGGAGAAGGCATTCAAGGCTACGTGCCTACAGGTGTCTCGGGTTACACATGGCAGAACCTCGTTGCAGCCGATATTCCGTACGACGCTCTCCTGATGTACGAGGTTAACGGCACCGAAATCCAGCCGTACTCGCATTACATCAACGGAACGAAGCAGAGCGGAATCTTCTTAGGCTCCGAAGGCTACACGACGTGGGGCTTCAAGAAGGATACTGACACAGAGCAAGGGACTTACTGGGAGGCAAGACTTCTGGGAGCTGACAGCGAGGACCCTTCCACTGGCAAACCGCTTTTTGATGGGGAGATTACTGGCTTCCTGAAAGTTTACGGCTCGTAATATGACAGTGCATGACGACCTCGGCGTCTGTCAACCGGTGGGAGATGACACCTAGGCGCCCGCAAAGTTATCCGACGTATTGCTGTCCCGACTGGGAGGGCGAACACACCAATAAATCATTTTCAGAGTCTTAGCAATCTGAAAACAGTAGTTTCCTCCTCATTCAGTCTGCTGCAATTCCAGTATTTGCAGGTTTCGTCCAATCATTGGCCGCTTTGACCGCCTCTGAAAAGTAGCATACCGTGAATAGAAGCGTTTGAAACATTACAGGTGGCTTCCCGCATGAGGAGATGGGAAGCCTTGGAAGCGGGACAAATAATCAAAGCGAGGCTCCGAGAAGGGTTTCCCAACGAAGCTTTAGCGACGGCTTCTTGCTTGACATCGCGTGAATTCACGATGGACAAGCAACTCTGCAACGTAGCGTCTTACCTGCCATGCTTGCTTTCTAGGGCGCACCGTCCAGTTCTTATTTCTAAACGACGTCGTGCTTTACAATCTGTTTGGCTACTTCTGACGATCAGACTCGCGAATACGAAACCGATAGGGTCGTACATCGTTTACCACGCGAGCTTCAATCGGTCACCCTTGGCTCGGACTTTAAGTCAAGCCCGTCCACCTCCCCAACCTGGCTCCCCGCGTTTTGCCTCCCCCCAGCAAACTTGTCCGCAGCGCTAATGCAACTTCTTCAGATCACTTTGTCATTCGTCCCGTTGATCGGCACAGGGGTGAAGAGCCACCCTCCCTCCGGTAGTTGAGGCGGTTCCACCCGGTTTCGCATGCCGCGGGCAAGTTTCGTAACCCACCGGCTATTCGCTCTACTCGTACTCGTTCGAGGCTCTCCTGTCGGTAATGTGGCAGACTAACAGTGCCTTTCGTCATGGTGGGGGACCTCCATGCGAACAAGGAGGTCGGGGGAGCTGGCGCGGTGTTTGCTGTCATGCTGGAGCCAACCAACTGGAGCGCGGATCTGGAGGGTGTGAAGCACTGCGAGACTATATTACATCCTTAGGTCCCAACTTCTTCTGAGTTTGTTCATCTGTTCAAGCACACCATCGCAGACGTACCGATCGCCCAGAATGTCGATGTCGATGCTTCCCAACATGAACGCCACCACTGTGCCAGTGGTGTACACCACCGTACTCGAAGAGTTGGCCAACCGCTGGCCGATCGCAGCGACCGCTGTGTTTGCCTGCGTCGTTGCTGTTTTGCTGCAGAGCGTTCTCAAGAGCGACCCGTGGGCGGACCTTCCCATGATCGGGACAGAATTCGGAGGAGCCGAGAGTCGAAGAAAGAAGTTCCTCAGCGGATCAGCGAAGGATATGTATCTTGACGGATACAAGAGGGTAGGTAACAGCATCGCAAGACAGGTTGCAATCATCACGAATAACACCGGATTCTTGTAGTTCAAAGAGAGAGCTTGGAGGATTACTACGACCAGGGGTAAGTCTTGGCGGTAGTTGGACTCTTTCGACGAGCGTTGACACAACTTCAGCATCGCCGAATATTGTCGTCGCTCCCAAGTTCATGAACGAGCTGAAGAGATTGCCCGACGATGTTCTCAGCTTTAACAAGGCCATTGAAGAGGTTGGTCTCCGGAAAGAAAGAGTAGACGGTTAGAGGTGGCCTAGCTAATACTCTGTTGCAGTTTATGCACGCCAAGTACACCAAGGTCGAGACCGACATTGATCTGCTGCCTCACACCGTTAAGAGCAGCTTGACCCCAGCACTTGGTAAATGGTCTACATGTTGCATGGCTGCAGCTATCGTTGACTAACAGTGACCTAGTACGACTAAACCCCATCATCGCAGACGAAGTTATCGAAGCCCTGCGTATCGAGCTCCCACATTCTGGAGAATGGACCGAGGTCAAGATCATGGACAAGCTCCTTCGTATTGTCGCAATGGCATCTGGACGCGTCTTCATTGGCCCCGAGCTTTGTCGCGAGGAGGAATACCTTGACGCCGCGATCAACTATACCGTTGACTTGATGAAGGCCATTCGTAAGATCTCTGATCTCCGGCCCTGGACACGCCGATTTGTGGCTCCAGGACTGCCAGAGGTGAAGAAGGTACACGAGCGCATCGATGCCGCAGACAAGTTCTTGCGACCTGTTGTGACTGCCAGACGCGAAGCAGCCAAGGATCCCGACTACCAGAAGCCCTACGACATGTTGCAGTGGATTATGGATGCGCAGACCAAGTTCGGCGAGAAGGACGACAAGGAGCTTGCTAGGTACCAGCTCGGCATCAGCTTCGCTGCTATCCACACTACAACGGTTACCTCTACCAACGCGTAAGCTGACCACGTTCTTCTAACATTGACCAACAACTGACGAGGACTCTAGGTTCTACACATTGGCAGCCATGCCTGAGTTGATCCCTATTTTGCGAGAGGACGTCCAGCAGGCATTGGCCGAGAGCAATGGTGTCTTCACCAGCCTTGCGATGCAAAACATGAAGAAGTTGGACAGCTTCTTGAAGGAGACCATGAGATTTTATGCGCTTGGTTCAAGTGAGTCAATGTTCTTCCCATTGAAAGAGATTAGGAGGCTGACAGTTCCTTCCTTAGCATCGTTCACACGTAAGGTTCTGAAGACCTTCACCCTGTCAAACGGGCAAGTCATCCCCAAAGGCTCCATCATCGAGATCCCCATGATCGGCATCAACAATGATGACGAGTACTTCCCCGACCACGACAAATTCGATGCCCTTCGCTTCTACAAGCTGC